GCTATCTTCTTCTTTTTTTTTTTTTTAACATATATTGCATTATTTGTTTCAGAAGTACAGATCTGTGAATAATCACAAAATTCTTTATGCAGTTTTTCCCCCACGCTTCTACTTGCATGTCATAGGCCCCTTTCCACTTCACCCATATTTCTTTGAAGACACTATTTTTAGTGGCTATGGCAGTGTATTATGTAAAATGCAGCAAGCCTATTTGGCCAGTTCTTTTCCATGTGACCTTGAGCAAGTTATTTGACCTGTGTCTAGATTTTCTCTTTTGAGTAGTGGGGGTCATAACGGAATCTACTCTTTAGGGTTAGTGTGAGGATCGAAGGGGTAAAGAGATGTAAAGTTGTTAGAACAGTGCTTGGCATACAGTAAACATGAAATAAGTGCTAGTTATTATTTTCATCATCATCATTATTATTATTATCCTGATTTGGTAGAAATGCATCTTTGCTTGACTACTTTATTACATTTAATAATAAACTACTATGGGGGAATTATGGATCAAAGGGTGTTCACATTTTAAGGCTCTTAATTTGCATAGTCAGTCCTCTTCTAAGTCTATTCTAATTTACATTTCCAGCAGGGAATGAGGTCCCTATTTTTTTCATAGCCTCTAAAATATGATTAATTTTTCTTTACTCGACCAAGACAGCTGACCTTAAGCACCTCAAGTGTCCTTTTGAGCCTCTGTCTAGATTAGAACTCAAACCTGGTCCTTTGGGTACGGAAACTGATTTTGGTTTATTTTGTGTTTGTTTGTTTAATCCAAGTGGATTTAATAGGTAAGTTGAACCCATCCGCTTCTAGCGTGATTTTCTATTTACCACGCTTTCTGATTTCTGGTAGTGGATTCCACAGTCCACCGACCCAACAAGACATTTGTGAGGTACTGACCGAGGGTGTCTGGGGTCTGTTCCAGAAACCACTCAGATCGAGGACCCCCGGGTACAATGGCGGCGGGAGCAGGAGCACATGCTGAAGGATTACCTGGTGGTGGCCCAGGAGGCCTTGAGCGCGCAGAAGGAGATCTACCAGGTGAAGCGGCAGCGCCTGGAGCTTGCGCAGCAGGAGTATCAGCAGCTGCATGCCGTCTGGGAGCACAAGCTGGGCTCCCAGGTCAGCTGTGAGTACCTCCCATTGCCCGTGCCCCACCAGCACCTCTGCAGGGAGAAGGGAATGGCCGCGCTCGGGAGAAGGTCCTGCCTGGCTTGGCTCTCAGTGCTTCTCACATCTGCCTGTTTCCTTCCATCTCCGCTTCTCGTGCAAACCACCATCCTCCCCGATGCCTTTCCTGCTCCTGCTTGTGCCTTGCAGTGATTCATGCACCATTTTCATTCCATTCCTTTCATTCATTTGCAATCATCTCCCAACTACCCGACTACCTACCCGTTGGCTGACAGATCTCATTGAAAGACCTTCAAAGGCTAGGGGGTGTGGGGAGTAGGGAGTTCATCCTTAATGGATGGAGTTTCAAGTTGGGAAGATGAAAAAGTTCTGGAGATGGTTGGTGGTGATGGTTACACAACAATATAAATGTACTCAATGCGCCTGAACTGGACATTTAAAAATGATTAAAGTGGTGAGCTTTATGTTATGTATATTTTACCACAATTTAAAAAAAATAATAAACCTTCCTGTCGTTCCTTCCATGGCCTCCACTGCCCTTTGTGATCAGGCCCCTGCTGGGCACCCCCACCTCGTCCCCTGCAGCCACTCCCTGCCCCTCAGGCTCCCTCACCAGGCTCCAGAGCCCCCCACTCAGCTCCTGTAGCCTGCCCTGCACCTTTCCTCCTCGGGGCTTTTGCTCTTGCTGCACCCCTGCTTAGAATGCTCTTCTGTCTGTCCATTTGCACAGCTGGCTGCCTCGTACCCTTCCAGTCTCATTCTTCCTGTCATCTGAGAGGCTCGCTTCTGACAACTCTATCCACAGACCCCCTTCCCCAGCGGTAGCCTCTGTTAGGGCTCTCTGTTTATTTTCTTTGTAGCGTGTGTCCCAAGACATCCGCTTACAGGTCTGTCTGTGTTCCCTGCGCTGGCATATTAACTCCATAAGGGCGGGGCTCCTGTCTCCCCAGTTCACGCTGGTGTCTCCAGGAGAACAGGCATGCGGGGCCCCCAGTCCTTCGTTCCCGGTGCAGTGCAGAACGGTATCTGCTCAGGAGCCCACACCCCTGTTCCTCTGTGTTTTTTGTCTTTTACCACTATTTCTAATACCCAGTCCTCCCCCATGTTTATTGGGTGTTTAGAATGTGTTGGGACGAACATGCTGTTTCATTGAATCCTCCTAACAACCCTGTGGGCAAGCACAGTTAGCACCCCCTGTCATAGATAAGGAAACAGGTTAGAGGGATCGGTGACACGCCCAGGGTCTTAGAGCTGGCAAGAGGTAGCAGTAAGTTCCAAGCCCAGCCCGTCTGTCCCTCCAGCATTCTCACTGTGGGCCAGGGGCCAGCATTAGGTCATGCTGTTATGGTGGCCGTTGCTTGGCTGAGTCCCTGGACACTTCTCCTGTGCGAAGCCCTCGCTCTGAGGAGTTCAGTGCACCAGGGGGGACAAAACTTGCCCAATTACTCACGGTCCCAGCCAGCCTTGCCCTTTTCCTTGGCGACTCAAGCAAACCCCCAGCATCTCAGATGATGGAAGAGAACTGTATTATACTCATCCGCTTTTTCTAGGTCCAGTAATGTCCGAGAGACTGTCCTGAGCATTTTAGCACTTGATCTGTTTTAGACAGCTCAGGCTGCCATAACAAAATCTCATAGACTAGGTGGCTTAAACAACAGAAATGTATTTTCCCATAGTTCTGGAGACGTGCAGTCCAGGATCAGGGTGTCGGCATGGTCTGGTTCTGGTGGCAGATGGCTGTCTTCTAACTGTGTCATCACGTAGCAGAGAGACAGAGACAGCATGCTGTCTCATGTCTCTTCTTGTACAGTCACTAACCCATCATGAAAGCCCCACCCTGGTGACCTCATCTAAACCCAACCACTCCCAAAGGCCCATCTTCAAACACCATCCCGTTGGGGGTTGGGGCTTCAACATATGAATGGGGGTGGGGAGAGGGCGGGGGACAGAATTCAGTCTATAGCATGATCCATACCACAGCCCTGGCAGGGAGATACTGTTGTCCCCACTGAAACGCAGGTTTGAAGAGGTAGGGTCATTTTTTTCCTCTCTGAAGTCCTCTTCCTCTCTGAAAAGTGGCAAGTGTGTATAAAAACAAAACTTCTTATTTTGGGGGACAGGATGCTTTTTACATGGACCCAAATTATCACCCCACAAACCATTTACTACTTTGAGAGGGTAACGTGTATTTTTGCATGGGAGATCGCTGCAGCCACCACCTTACACAGGTGTAAAACAGCCTCGCCATGAGGAGTCGAACTGGTATCGCGTGCCTTCTGATGTGGTGCAGTAAGAACATCATGGAGGCTTCTTGACAAAAATGTTACCATCAGTCAGATCATCAAGACACAGCCAGACAGATCCATAATGTGGACTATCCTACAGGATGATCAGCCTGGACTCTTTGGGGTGGGGGGCGCTGAAACACTGGAAAGAAGGGAAACTATTCTAGACTTGGGGGGGAAAAAAGCTATGGAGGCATAAACTAAATTAAATGTCTGCATCCTGATTAGACCCTGGATTGGGGTGGAGGGTGGGAAGCAGCCATAAAAGACATCCTCGGGCATTTGGAAGATTATCTTACGTGTGATCATCATGTTGTGGCTATGTAGGAGAATGTCCTTGTTCCGAAGACATGCATGTGGCATCCTATCTGCAGCTTCATTTTAAAAAAAGCAGGAACAAAAAGAAACAACTATGCCATCAGTGTAAGTGAGCTGATCAGTAGCTGCCGATGACACGTTGGTGGCTTTGAATATAGGATAGGCTTTCATTTTTGGTCACCATTTTCAGTAATCATTTGTTGAGGGCTTGCTCCAGACCAGGTGTCCCACTGAGAGAATTGGAGTGGACAGAAGGATGGATAGGACAAATGTGGGAAAATGTTAAAAATTGGTGGACCTAGGTAGAGGAGGACATATTAATATTATATTATTCTTTCAAATTCTCTGTACCTATAGTTTCCAAAATAAAAGGTCAGGGTGGGGAAAAGAGCCAAATGGGCAGGAATAATGCATTCCCACAGAGAAGCCTGGCGGTGGGAGATGGCAGTTGTTGGACTCTGAAGTCAGAGGGCTTGGGTTTGAATCTCCATTCCACTGTTAACTGTGTCTTCTTGGGGAACATGCTTCACATCTCTTTACATCTGAGATTCCTTCCGTTTAAATATGAAATGTTAATAGTCCCCTCCTCTCCTGGGTCCCTGTCAAGAGTTTCTCAACCTCCGTATGGTTGACATTTGGGGCCAGATAAATCTTCACTGTAGGAGCTGTCCTGTGTATTGTGGGATGTTTAGCAGCACTTCTGGTCTCTACCCACTAGATGCTAGTGGTACCCCTCCATCCCAGGTTGTAACAACCAAAAACATCTCCAGACATTGCCAAATGTACTCTAGAGGGGTGCAGAATTCCCTGAGTCTAAAACCAATGGTGTAGGGAAAACAGTACCTTCAGAACATGTTAATGGTTCAGTATTCTTCTTGGCAGGAAATACTTCACGTAATATTTTGAGAGTGTGGACTCTAGGGCTGGACTGCCTGGACTCAGATCCAGGATATGCAACTTGTTAGCCGTGTAACCTTGCCCAAGTTATGCCACTTCTCTCTGCCTCAAATTCTTCATCTATAAAATTGACATAATGTATCACCTTCATTGAGGTGTTATGGAGCTTAAATTCATTAACAGATGTATAGTACTTGGAATAATACTTGTGATATTCTTAAGCTCTCAATAAATAATAACAATTATTTGACATCATTAATTCATTGGCATTGAAAGGACATAAGATTTTAATAGATCTGTTTATTCTTATTTTAACCAATTAGATAAATACATGATCAGTGGTAAGAAGCAATGATGCAGTCCTGTCATATAACTCTTGGATGTTCCCAAGAGAGCTCCAACAAGTCCAAAGGCACCACTGATTTGGATGTTAAAGAACTTCCATCTGAAGTGACTAGGGTCATCTCCGGTAACTAGATCTGAGATCCAAACCAGCCAGGAGTTGGGGTGTCCCCAGCCTAAGCATCCCAGTTAAAGTCTCATGACTTTCTTTGGGTTTTACAAGCCAGGTCTGCCTTCCAAGTCAAGCTCTGCAACATGTTGATAGACTGGTGAGATCACATGCCTTGCTTCTAATTCAGATGGCCTGCCCAGGCTTGTGAGAGTTTTGCCACCTGGCCTTGGCTGCAGTGGGGCCTGGCCACAGGTGGGACCCTGCCCTGGGGATGGAGACTTTGTTGTCACCTCTGGTGCAGTCGCTAGCTCCATGGAGAAGGAGAAGAGAACTAACATTTAATGTGCACCTGTTATATTCCTCCAGGACAATATGATGTGCACTCCACATATGTTATTTAAAGTAACCTTCCCCCTCCAAACAATCCTACAAGATACTGTCATTCCCATTTTACAGATCAGAAAACTGAGGCCCAGAAAGGGAAAGGAGCTTCTCCAAGGTCACACTGCTAAAAAGTTATACCCAGGAGTATCTGACCTCAAAAACACTTCTCTTAATACAAATCAGCCAGTCAAATTCTAAGGTTCTTGTGTTACATTTGGGTCCTCCTGTCCTCTGAAAGATGAGAACTCAGGAGAACTGGGTTCTTTGGGACCTCATCATGTTCCTTCCTCTCTCTAGGCCTTGGTCTCCCATGTGAAAAAGAAATCATTGGGAGGATGCCTGGGTGGCTCAGTTGGTTAAGCAACTGCCTTCGGCTCAGGTCATGATCCTGGAGCCCTGCATCGAGCTCCCTGCTCAGCGGGGAGTCTGCTTCTCCCTCTGATCTCTCCCCTCTCATGCTCTCTCTCTCTCATTCTCTCTCTCTCAAATAAATAAAATCTTAAAAAAAAAAAAAGAAATCATTGGGAACCTAGCATTTAAAAATGCCAGTTGAACCACCCACCTGATCTCACTCACTCCTAAAACAAAGTAAATATCAAATAAGAGATTTCTTTTTAAGGAATACATGCACAAAGACAGGGAAACCTGGAGAAAAAAAAA